AAAAAAAAAAAAAAAAAAAAAAAAAAATTAGGGATAGAAATCCTGTTAACCTAATAAAGCCACTAACTGACCCACCACCAGCAAATATCACACTTAATAGTGAAATGTTAGAATCATTTTCTTTTAAAATGAAGAATGACATGAAAGAGTCAGCTATTAACACTTCTGCTTAAAAAATGTTTTAGAGGTATTGGCCCATGTAGGAAAAATACGAAAAAAAAAAAAAAAAAAAAAGATATGAAAAAGAAGAAAGAAACAAAAATAACCTTGTCATTATTGACAGATGATGTTAGTCTCATAGACACCCAAAATACATAAGCTGATTATTGGAATTAACATAAGAGTTTAGCAAGATGTTAAACATAAATCTGCAATGACCCAAAGACCAACTGCATTTCTAGGCATCAGGAATAATTAGTTATAAAATATAATTAGAAAAAGCTAGTATTTTCAATAGCTTCAAAAACATCAAACCAAGAAATAACTAACAAAAGATATATCTTTGTGATGAAGAAAATGATAACAAGAATAAGCCAGGTGCGGTGGCTCATGCCTGTAATCCCAGCACTTTGGGAGGTCGAGGCGGATGGATCACCTGAGGTCAGGAGTTAAAAGACCAGCCTGGCCAATATGGTGAAACCCTGTTTCTACTAAAAATACAAAAATTAGCTGGGCATGGCGGTGGGCACCTGTAATCCCAGCTACTCAGGAAGCTGTGGCAGGAGAATCCCTTGAACCGGGGAGGGAAAAGTTGCAGTGAGCCAAGATCGTGCCATTGCACTCCAGCCTGGGTGACAAGAACAAAACTCCATCTCAAAAAAAGAAAGAAAAGAAACGAAAAGAGAAGAGAAGAAAAGAAAATTATAACAAGAATAAAGAAAATTATAAACCATTAGTGAAAACAACTACATATGACCAAAGGGAAATATATACCACATTCATGAGCAGAAATACTAAAAAATTTCACTCAAATTAATCTATAAATTCAATGCAATTCAACTAAAACTTTTACGAGAACTTTTCATAGTTTAAAAAGCTGCTGTTCCTCAAAGTTATGGAAGATCAAAGACCCAAGGACATCCAAACCAGTGTGAGAGGACAAGGTGTGGGTACACATCACACCTGAAATAAAGATGTGTTACAACAAAGTGCAGTAATCAATATAGTTTGATATTAAAGCTGAGATAAACAGACCAATGAACAGAGTAGAGAACTGAGAAGTGAAACCTGCCTATATGGAAATTTGATATTTGACATTAAACAATAAATAGACACCAAGACTTAGAAAACGAATCAAAGCCTTAAAACATGCCAAAATCAATTCTTCCTTCAATCAATAAAGATGCGAATGTAAAAAGCAAAAACTGAAAACTCTTCAAGGAAACTGTAAGCATGTCTTTTATGACTTTGGTATGAAGAGTTTGCAAAGGAAGCAAAAATACAAATCATATAGGAAAATACTGACAAATTCATCTACATTAAAATAACAAAATATCATCTTTTGTTGAGCCAGCAACACCAAGGGAAAAGTAGAAAAACAGGCTTTCAGATGTGAATAGACATTTGCAATGTATACACTCAATAGAGAAGGAATATTTGGAATAAATAAGCAGCTCCTTCAACTCTGTAAGAAAAAGACGAACAGCCCAACAGAAGAAAATCAGTAAAAGGCACAAACAGGCAATTCACAAAAGGGCAAACATGAAAAAAAAGTGCAACTGACTAGCAAACTATGAAGAGATGCTATCTTACTCACAGCTGATGGACAGCAACAGTTAAAAAAAATCTGACAATACCAAGTGACTACAGAAGGGATATGTAAGTTGTTCTATATTCCTATAATGCATACTATACAGCAGTGAGAATGAATGTGCACTAGGTACCAACACCTATGACTCCAAATCATAATGAGGGAAAAATATCACATTGTAGGCCGGGCATGGTGGCTCACGCCTGTAATCCCAGCACTTTGGGATGCCAACACAGGCGGATTGCCTGAGGCCAGGCATTCAAGACCAGCCTGTCCAACATGGCGAAACCTATCTCTACTAAAAATAAAAAAATTAGCCAGGCCTGGTGGCTTGCACCTGTAATCCCAGCTACTTGGGAAGCTGAGCCATGAGAATTGCTTGAACCCGGGTGGCGGAGGTTGCAGTGAGTTGAGATGGCGCCATTGTGTTCCAGCCTGAGCAACAGGAGATTAAAAAAAAAAAAAAAAAAAAAAAAAGTACACTCTACATAGTATTGCTTACATAAAGTTTTAAAATTTAAGTATTTTATTTTTTTTTAGAGATAGTCTTACTCTGTCACCCAGGGTGAAGTGTAGTGGTGCCTTCATGACTCACTATATCCTCAACCTACTGGGCTTAAAGGATCCTCCCACCTCGGCCTCCCCAGCAGCTGGGATCACAGGAAAACGTGCCACCACACCCAACTAATTAAAAAAATTTTTCTTTGTACATATGGGGTCTCGCTTTGCTGCTGGGGCTACTTCAAACTGCTGGACTCAAGGGATCCTCCTGCTGCAGCCTCCCAAAGTGTGGGATTATAGCTGTGAGCCACCATGCCTAGCCATGTAAAGTTTAAAACAAAAAAACAATTCTACATTTCATTGACAGCAGGCTAGGCGTGGTGGCTAACGCCTGTAATTCTAGCACTTTGGGAGGCCAAGGCAGGAGGATTGCTTGAGCACAGGAGTTTGAGACCAATCTGAGAAACATGGCAAAACCCCATCTCTCCAAAAAATACAAAAATTAGCTGGGCATGGTGGTGTGTGTCTGTAGTCCCAGCTACTCGGAAGGCTGACACAGGAAGATTGCTTAAAGTTTGGGAAGTAAAGGTTGCAGTGACCTGAGATCGCACCACTGCACTCTAGCCTTGAAGACAGAGCCAGAACCTGTCCCTCAAAATCAAACAAACAAAAACATTGACACCTACAAACACAGGTATTAATTAAAATTATTAGGAAATGTGTAGGAATGATGAACATCAAATCCAGGGTTGCTGACACGTCTGAGAAGTTGGGTTATACAGGACACTTGAACTGTGTGTGTAATTTTTTTTTTTTTTTTTTTTTAGCTGGGTGATAGCGTCATGCCAGCTTGTCACATTATTTATTATGCCTTTTAGCATATTAGATATTTTTACAACAAAGAAAATGACAGAGGGAGAAAGACACTAGTTTCTGGTCCAACTTGAAGTATGAGACTATTCATTTCTTCCTAATTTTTTCAATTTGATCCCTGAAAGTCACTGAAGAAAGAAAAAAATTAAAGGACCATTCCAATAGTCTCTCAATGTCTTTTTTTTTGAGACGGAGTTTCGCTCTTGTTACCCAGGCTGGAGTGCAATGGCGCGATCTCGGCTCACCGCAACCTCCGCCTCCTGGGTTCAGGCAATTCTCCTGCCTCAGCCTCCTGAGTAGCTGGGATTACAGGCACGCATCACCATGCCCAGCTAATTTTTTGTATTTTTAGTAGAGATGGGGTTTCACCACGTTGACCAGGATGGTCTCGATTTCTTGACCTCGTGATCCACCCGCCTTGGCCTCCCAAAGTGCTGGGATTACAGGCGTGAGCCACCGTGCCCGGCTCTCTCAATGTCTTTTAAACATCAAAGTTGCAGAGAGTTGCTGACCTGGGGATTTTTCTGGCCCCAATTCCTATCCGTAAGTTTGCCTTGTCTTCAGCAAAGGTGTAAAATATCCAGGAATATTTGCTAGTGTGGTATTCACTAGGCAGAACATAGTGTGGATGGTTTTACAAAAATGTTATACTGAAGCAAAACCCAACCTACTCGCTTTCAAAAATGAATTCTTTAGTCATACTTCACTCTCATTTCAAAGACAAGGACATTTGATAAGGTAACAGCTTTTATAGGAATCTCAGAGGCCACATCTTACATTACAGAGGAGAAGCAGACAGAAAGAGGACCTGAAGGAGAAAACTCCTAAGATCCTTAGAAGTGAGTTTTTGCAAAAGTCTTTCTCATCTTCAAACAACAATCATAAAAAGCATCAATTCTAATTCTTTAAGAGACCAGCGTGTTACGTTAGACAGCAAATCAGAAAAATATTTTCCGATTGAAAATGAAAACTCAGTTTCAACACAGAAATAGGCAAAGAAGCACTTCAAAGTACTCAGAAAACAGCTAAGTGATTATCCTGGCCACTTATCTGGATTTCAATACCTTAATCAGCTCTTTTTCGTTACGGAGGTCCTCGTGAAGCTCTGGAAGAGGATCTTCACTGTGTGCCTTTAAAACTTGCAGCCTGCTTTTCAACTCCTTGATTTTCTTTTCACACTGGTCCCAGGTCTATTTGAAAACAAGATTAAAACTGGTAAGTACTTTGCTCTTTAGAATGAATGGTGGAAATAGAATAGCTCATTTAATCCACATAATCTTTCTGTTAAGTTTGTTTTTTATAAATCGCACAGACACCCACTTCCTTGTCTTGAGCAGACTGTGGTCTCCAAAAGCAGAAGGAACACCAGTATGACTCGAGACTCCTTGTAGCTTTACCTGTGGCTCATGACAGGCATCTGGCTGGCCTTTACTTGAAAACAGTTCTTCTAGGCTGGGTGTGGTGGCTCATGCCTATAATCCCAGCACTTTGGGAGGCCAAGGAAGGTGAATCACCTAAGCTCAAAAGTTCGAGACCATCCTGGCCAACATGGCAAAACCCCATCTGTACTAAAAATACAAAAATTAGCTGGGTGTGGTGGTGCTTGCCTGTAATCTCAGCTATTTGGGAGGCTGAGGCAGGAGAATCACTTGAACCCGGGAGGCAGAGGCTGCAGTGAGCCGAGATTGTGCCACTGCACTCCAATCTGACAGAGTGAGACTTTTTTTTTTTTTTTTTGAGGGAGACGGAGTTTCGCTCTTGTTACCCAGGCTAGAGTGCAATGGCGCGATCTCGGCTCACCGCAACCTCCGCCTCCTGGGTTCAGGCAATTCTCCTGCCTCAGCCTCCTGAGTAGCTGGGATTACAGGCACGCACCACCATGCCCAGCTAATTTTTTGTATTTTTAGTAGAGACGGGGTTTCACCGTGTTGACCAGGATGGTCTCGATCTCTTGACCTCGTGATCCACCCGCCTCGGCCTCCCAAAGTGCTGGGATTACAGGCTTGAGCCACCGTGCCCGGCTGAGACTATCCTAAAAAAAAAAAAAAAAAAAAAAAAAAAAAGTTCTTCCTCCCTCCCCATATCCTGTCATCTAGCCAATATGATTTCTACTTTAATTTTGGAAAAGTTCACATCTAAAGGCTGCTGTACAGATTAACTGTTAGCAGTGTCAGTCTTTGGCACATGCTATAATAGCGCCACAGAGCACAAGCACTCAACCACTTTCCTTGTCTTCTTGTCCACCGTCACCCCTCTCCTCTGCTGGCTCTCTTCTCCTTTCTATTGGCTTTAGTGACCTTTTCACTTTCTATTTCTCACCACTGTGCTGACTACCACTTTCTGCTTAAAGCACTTTCCTTTTTACAAAGCATTTTCAACTTTATTAACTCACTGTAATTATATAACCTTGGGAGATAGGAAAAGTATTATCATATTTAAAACGAGTATTATATTTAAAATGGGAAAGCTAAAGCTCAGAGAAAAAGGACTAGCCTGTGGTTCTGGGGTTAAAAGCCTTGTCAAGGGTCCACTATCTCTTTTCTTCAAACTTTACATTGTTGAGAAAAAGCTGCCTGCATTTTCAACTGTAGAGTATTTATATTTGATTCATTAGGATAAACCTCTTTTCCTGAAGTTACTGAAACTATACAAACGTATAATGAACCACTACTCTATTCTTCAGTACAGCTGATACCTAAACATACTTGGTTGGGTTGGCCTAAGTCTATAGTAACCCCTCACTTAAGGGAAGGCCACTTGTCTAGCAATGTCAACTATCTGGAACTCAATGACAAAGCGAAGGGAGAAGCAAAACTCTGAGCTCTTATCTCTCCCACCAGACTGTTACTTGCAATTAGTATTATGCTTTACAAATATGGCAGATGCTTAACAAATGTTTGCTAGTTAATGAATTCCATACAGTCCATGTACCAAATAAAATTCAGATACTTTATTCACAGGAGAAATTCTCAAGCTCTAAGTCAGTATATATTTACTCTTAATTCAGAAAAATATGTCTGATAAGCTTGGTTATCTAGTTTTGGCACATACAACAGATTAGAGAGAGGAGTGGGCTGTAAAAAGTAAGTGAGCCTGGAGAAAGAAAAAGTAAAAACAGGCAGCTTGACATTAACAGGAGAGAAAGAAAAATGATAAAAACCATATCAGAACTCAGAGCATAGTAGTTCAGGGAGGGCCATAGGTTCTAAGCAATTTCGAGGCCTTGAGAACAACTTGGTATCTTAGTATAACAAACAATAACGATTTTTCTAATAGTGACTCAAAATATAACACTGTAGTTCTTAAACATATAATCATAAATTATTTGGAAAATTCACTTATATGGAAAAGTGCATTCTCTGATGATAGCAGAAAAATGATGTACTCCTGTCTCTTTTCTTTTCTTTTTTTTTTTCCTATGGGGGCAAAGTTTCACTCGTGTTGCCCAGGCTGCAGTGGAATGGCGCAACCTTGGTTCACCACAACCTCCGCCTCCTGGGTTCATGCGATTGTCCTGCCTCAGCCTCCCAAGTAGCTGGGATTATAGGTGCCCACCACCATGCCCAGCTGATTTTGTATTTTTCAAAGTACAGACGGGGTTTCTCCATGTTGTTGAGGCTGGTCTTGAACTCCCAACCTCAGATAATCTGTCCGCCTCAGCCTCTCAAAGTGTTGGGATTACAGGTGTGAGCCACCATGCCAGGCCACCTGTTTATTTTCATATACTATGCCCAAGGACAAGTTGTACACGGAACATTAGTTTTATGTATTGAACTTCCATTGAATAAGAATATGTTTCCTGTTTCATAAAAGTAAGAATCTTAATAGAATGTTAAGTATTTAAATACTAAACATCGAGCTCTTGCACTGCTATATTATCATTTCACATTAAGTAACCGGCATGACTTAGGGATTACAGCTTGAGTTAGAAACTCACGATACTGTAATTTCCTAAAATCATTTCCATTGTTATACCACGAATGAAAATTTATGTACTGAATTTGAATATCATGAATGGAAAAGTAAGTGGTGAGTTTACCTCTACAGTGCTCTGGAACTGCTGAATCATCTCTGCCAGTGGGGGCTCTGTGTCATTCCAGTTGTCCTGAAGTTGACTGATTCTCCTACCCACAGACTCTTTAGTTTCCAGGTTAGTTGTAAGCAGTAACTTTTCTCCAGCTTCCAAGGTTAGTGCATAGGTGGTTCGCCATCTTTGAAAATGAATTTTTTTATTCTAAGAAAAAAAAAAGTAATTTGCTTAGGCTTTTGATGTGTTCAAAATGTGATTACGTGTATCTGTGTATATTTCCTTCAGAGCTTTTCTTAAGTGTTAAACTAGATATAAATTAGACAAATTGGGTCAGAATGGACATACCCACACTCACATCCAAAGCTAATGTTTTACATTGAGTAGATAAGCATAGTACTAAGTGAGGTGGTCTTAAAACAATTTCCAAAGATTGATGAGATAAGATTCTTAGTGTAATGATCACAAGCATAGAGAAATAAAAAAGTACACATCACAGAATAAAAGTCTGCAAGGTAAATGGATCTAAGAGTATTAAGAAAGTGACTGGACCTGTAGTCACAGCTACCTGGGAGGCTGAGGCAGAAGAATCGCTTGAACCGAGGCAGAGGTTGCAGCGAGCCGAGATTGAGCCACTGCACTCCAGCCTGGCAACAGAGCAAGATTCCGTCTCAAAAAAAAAAAAAAAAAAAGTGACTGGGGTATCAGACCTGAAATCAAGAGCAAATACTGAGTCATGATCATGGGACAAAGCCACTTTACTCCTAACCCACAAGAGCAGGATACATACATTATGCTAAACAAATATAAAAAGAGTGAATACAAGAAAGGGTAAAATACAAAAATTATATCTTTCTTAGGCTTATTATGGGTACATAAACACATACATCAATGTGTGCCCAAAGGGACAGCTTTAAAAAATTCCATCCGAGGCTGTGCACAGCGGCTCATGCCTGTAATCCCAGCATTTTGGGAGGTCGAGATGGGCAGATCACCAGACAGGAGTTTGAGACCAGCCTGGCCAACACGGTGAAACCCCGCCTCTACTAAAAATACAAAAAAATTAGCCGGATGTGGTGGCATATGCCTGTAATTCCAGCTACTCAGGGTGGGGGGCGGGGGAGCTGATGGAGAATTCCTTGAACCTGAGAAGCGGAGATTGCAGTGAGTTGAGAATGCGCCACTGCACTCCAGCCTGGGCGGCTGAGTGAGGCTTTGTCTCAAAAAAACAAAAACAGCAACAAAAACAACAAATTCCATCCAAATATCATGTCGGCTTTCTGAAAATCAAAAACAAGTTTTTTAGGCCTGGCGCGATGGCTCATGCCTGTAATCCCAGCACTTTGGGAGTCCAAGACGGGCAGATCAATTGAGGTCAGGAGTTCGAGACCAGCCTGGCCAACATGGAGAAACCCCAACTCTACTAAAAATACAAAACTTAGTCAGGGATGGTGGTGCATGCCTGTAATTCCAGCTAATTGGGAAGCTGAGTCACAAGAATCACTTGAACCTAGAGGTGGAGGTTGCAGTGAGCCAAGATCATGCCACTGCACTCCAGCCTGGGTGATGGAGACTTTGTCTCAAAACAATAAAAATTTTTAAAAAATGAGAAAACATTTTAAGAGAAAAGGTCTTGTTTATTTTTATTGTTTTCTATTTTTTAGTGGCAGTGTTACAGCTCTGTGACTGCTCCTGCAGAGCAGGGCCACCCACAGGCAGTGTGCAGAGAGTAGCTGAGGCCTTGTTTTTTGAGATTCACCGCCACACCTGGCTACATGGGCATTCTTTAAGGAGGCTGAAACTAGGTATTTATAACACAAAAATGACGTAAAAACTTTAAAATTGATTCATACTTCTAAAGGCATTTGGTTTTGGGGAAAAAATTAAATAGTTTTTGTCTGTTCTAAAAATGTTTTCCTGTCTGGGCATGGTGGTGAGTTGCTATAGTCCCAGCTTCTCGAGAAGCTGAGTTGGGAGGACTGGTTGAGTCCAGAAGTTTGAGGTCATAGTGACCTATGATCACGCCGCTGCACTCCAGCCAGGGAGACAGAGCGAGTATCTGTCTCTAAAACAAAAAAGTAAATAAACAATACGTAAACATTATTTCCTTCACCTTGAAATTTCTTGAGGGTGACAGAGTGCGGGCATTTTCCAAAATGGGAGCTGATCAGCCTCAATAGAACATCACTAATTTACAAAGCCATTTCTGAGAAGCCTATAGATCACCCATATCCAAAGGAGGAAAGCGAAATGCACCCTCAGGAGCAGCACACAAATAAGAGAAACAGAACTGGACCGCAGGCACTCCACGTGCGTCTGTCCTACATAACGTGCTGCGCGAATGAGCCGCTTGGAGAAGAGCTGCTACTCCCTTAGTCTTCGCTAACTTGGTCAGCAGCACACTATTCACCAAGATGCTTGAGCCTCAACCCACAGTCATCCTTCATCTAGCTTTTCCTTTACCAGACTCAGAAACCGACACTCCAGAATATGGTGTTTTTGACGTGTTGAACTGAAGAAGCCTCAGGGTCTCTCTGCCCTCCCCACCCTGTGTCTCCTACAGAAGTTCCTTTATCTCCCTAAGACCCAGAGAGTGACTGTTTTTTCTTTCCCTTCCTGTTACCTCATTATCTTACTGCAGAAACCCAGAGGTAACCACACCCAAACAGACTCTTTCAAGATGACTGCCTCCAAGTAAACTCTAAAGATAACTTTTTTTTTTTTTTTTTTGGAGACAGTATCTTGCTGCTATCCAGGCTAGAGTGCAGTGGTGCAACCATGGCTCACTCCAGCCTCAACCTCCTGGGCTGAAGTATGATCCTCCTGCCTCAGCCTCCTGAGCAGCTGGGAGTACAGGTGCATGCCACCATGACCGGCTAATTTTTAATTTTTTTTTTTTTTAGAAACAAGGGTCTCACTGTGTTGTCCAGGCTGGTCTTGAACTGGGCTCAAGGGATCTGCCCACCGCAGCCTCTCAAAGTGTTGGGATTAGAACCAATCCTCATCAAACTGTGGCCCCTCTGTCCCCTCCTCACAAACTCACGTGGGCATATATGACAGCCTTCATTATTAGAGTGTGGCAGAAGTGATGTATGTGACTCCTGAGGCTGGGTTTATAAGGCAATACAGCTTGTTCTTATGATAAGAATCTCTGAAACCATGGGTACAGTACCATATAAGTCTGGCCACCAGAAGCCGCTACATGGCAAGACCACAGACAATGATGCCCAAGGAGAGGAGCCCCACTGTGCCAGCTCCTTGCTGCCCAAGTCACTCCAGCCTAAGCATCGGTCATGTGAGTGAGCTTCAGATGACACCAGCCCCAGCCACCATCTGACTGCAACTGTCTGAGAGACCCCAAGCAGGAACCACCAGCCCCAGTCACCCCCGAGAACGACAAGACAGAATAACGAGTGTCATGATGCAGCTATAGGTAAATGAGACGCTAGGATTCCCACTTTTCCTTTAGCTCCCCTACAATCAGGAGCAGCCAGAGTAATCTTTAAAATATATGGGGCCGGGCATGGTGGCTCACGCCTGTAATCCCAGCACTTTGGGAGGCCAAGGCGGGCAGATCATCTGAGCTCAGGAGTTCGAGACAAGACCGACCAACATGGTGAAAACCCGTCTCTACTAAAAACACAAAAAGCAGCTGGGCATGGTGGTGCACACCTGTAATCCCAGCTATTCAGGAGGCTGAGACACGAGAATCGCTTGAACCTGGGAGGTAGAGGTTGCAGTGAGCTGAGATGGCACCACTGCACTCCAGCCTGCATAAGAGTGAGACTCCATCTCAAAAAAAGAAAACGAACAAACAGTGTGATACTACCCTCTCCCTCATCAAAACACTTCAGAGGCTCCCTGGTTCCAGCCAGACCAGGTAATCCAGCTACCACGCTGGCCTGCAAAATGCTTCTCCCCACCTGCCATTCTAGTTCACCTGCCACTGCTGCCTTGCCAGCTCTGTGCCAGCCACACTGGCCTTCATGCTGTTCCTCTGCTGTGCTGAGCTTGTTCTCATCCTGGGGACTTGGAGTAAGCCTCTCCCTCTGTCTGAAACGCTCTTTCCTAAGATCTTGCATGGCTGGCTCCTTCTTATACAGTTCCAGGTTAAATGTCACATGGCCAGAGACAACCCAATCTAAAGGAGCCACACATCCCCATCTCTACTGGCCCTGTTTTAATGATCTACATAAGTCATATTATTACAATCTGATATTTTATTATTTATTAATTTATCTGATTAATTATTCTGGTTTACTTACTACTTTGTCTTCCCTTATAAGAGTGAAGGTCTTCTCTCCATCCACAGAATAAGCTTAGCACTTAGGACAGTGATTGACACAGAGCAGGTACCCAATTAAAATGCAATGATTGCATAATGAGTGAGGGCTGCACAGGAGTGCAGGAGGCTGGTGTTTGTTGACAGGCTTCTCTAAGGTGAAGAGTGGCTCTGCAGCTCCGTGGGATATTCCAATCGCCTACTCTAATCCTGTGCTCATTCAGCAAGTTTCTTTTGAAAAGCTTTGTCGCCTGAATGTATTTGTCCTTTATTTTTATTTTTTAAAATTAGTTTTTAAAATGTTTGTGGGTGCATGAGATTTTTTAATACAGGCATGCAATATAAAATAAGCACATTATGAAGAATGCAGTATCCATCTCCTGAAGCATTTATCCTTTGAGTTACAAATAATCCAATTACATTCTTTATTTTAAAATATACAATTATTATTGACTATAGCCACCCTACTGTGCGATTAAATAGTAGGTCTTATTCATTCTATTTTTTTTCCGTACCCACTGAATTTTTCCTTCAAGAGTAAGCAATTCTACTGTACATTGCCACACTAATGGTCAATTTATGCATTCATCAATGGCTTTAGAATCTAGTGGTGTGAGTCTGTCACCCTAAACTTCCCCCATTTATTCACCCATCTCGACTCCGTGCCTCCTCTCATGGCCCAAGAGAACCAGGCACTCCAGCCTGGACAACAGAATGGATGTCTGCTTCCACTATTTCTGGATGAATGGGTAATATTGGGTTTCCAACCCCACAATGTTAGGGACCAGGCTGTGGGGTGTGGTGACTGCACCTTGTTGGCCTCACACTGCAGAGAGCACATTTGATCACTTTGTCATCAAAAACATTAAATGAAAGGTGAATGAGCATCTTGCAAATAACGACCATCTGTGGTTCTCACGCTGCTACGATGCATGCACTACCTTCAGCTCATGGATCAGACATCTGGTTTGGTAGAGGCTGAAGTGCTCCTGGCCCTTCACTGCAGATAGCAGGTAGCTGGTGTCAGTAAGGAAGCGGAGCAAGTCCTCCACAGAAGTAGTGAAATCCTGCCACTGCCTCACCAGCCCATCGATGTCACTCTTCCTCTGCCGAACATCCTGGACGGCATTGTGCCACCGATCTGTCAGCTTTGAGAATTCTGAAATAAATTCAGGTCTGGGGAAAAACAAATGGTTATAGAATCCTGACATCAACATGTAGAAAAAAATAACTATCAGTGGGTAATAGCAGCTCAGATTCACTGTAAGTACAATTTTCATGAAAAAAATCCCAACTTCTAAAAGCCTGAGTATTATTCAATGTAAACATGATTAAAGTTTTGGGAAGGGCAGCATGCAGACTGAGTTTAGCAAAAGCTATCTGCATGTAACCTGGCATTTTGCCAGCATGCATGCTAACCATAACCTTAAACTAACTGAGGCTGTTTTAATACATACTATGCTAAATGCAGAAGGGAAAACTAGAAACTGGATCAATGGGAACCCGATGGACAGGCAGGTACTTTGTAACATTATTGATTACTTGAGTGTACTTTACATAGTTTTAGCAATAAAAAGCATGCTTTATTGCAACTAAACCAGTTCTTTTCTGGATAAATAATATTCTTCACATGAGAAATAAGGCCTTCTATTTATTATGGGAAAGTCATGTTTTTCTGTATAGATCAAATGGAAATTAGCTATCACCCTGAAACTGGTTTGAATTTACTACTTCAGCACTATGGAGGAATGGGCTTTATATTTCTTAGTTATGCTGAAAGAAGATTCAAAGGTGTACGGGTGGTAATGTGCAAGAAAAATCACACCTATTAGGACACTGAGAGAAGTATTTAAGTACTTTAAGTGGTCGGGCTACCTCCAGGCTGTCTGCCATGTGTACCAGCTGCATAAGCAGACTCACTCAGCGCTGGCAGACTGGTTGAAGCGGCTCTGCTCAGCCTGACTGGCACTGCCCAGTGACCCTAAGCCCACATATGTAACATGGAGAGAAAGCCCTTTTTTCATACTTACAGGATTTAGCTACCTACTGGGAACACTAGGAACACTAATTTTTTAGAAATTATTATTATGGCCGGGCGCGGTGGCTCACACCTGTAATCCAAGCACTTTGGAGGCCAAGGCAGGTGGATCACCTGAGGTCGGGAGTTCAAGACTAGCCTGACCAACATGGTGAAACCCTGTCTTAAAAAAAAAAAAAAAAAAAAAA